CAAAAGAAACCTTGCAGGCAAGAAGGGGCTGGAAAGAAGTATTCCAAGTCATGAAAGGCAAGGACCTACCTCCGACAGCTATCCAGCAAAGGTATCATTTAGAATGGAAGGGCAGGTAAAGTACTGCCCAGATAAGGTCAAGTTAAAGGAGTTCTTTATCACCAAGCCCTTATTAGGTAAACTGTTAAATGGATTTATCTTTATTAAGAAAAAGAGGACCAAAACTATGAATAATAAAATGACAACAAACTCACAACTATCAATAACTGAACTTAAGAAAATAAATAGTCTAAGAAAACAACGAGAACAGGGAGAGAATCACAGAAATGGAGATCATGGGGAGGGTTATCAGTGAGGGAGGGGAGAATGGGGGTGGAAGGTACAGGGAATAAGAAGCATAACAGGTAGGCACACAGTTGATGGGGTGGGGGTTAAGAATAGAACAGAAAACGAAGCCAAAGAACTTTCACGTCCGACCCACGGACATGAACTAAGGGGGAGAAGTGCTAGAGGGAAAGAGAGTACCAAGAGGAGGGGCATAAAGGGGAGAAATAATGCAACAATTGTAACAGCACAATCAAAAAATAAACTAAAAAATAAAATGCAAAAAAAAATTTAAAACCACCCAAGGTCCTTCAGCTTGTGAACAGAGAACAGGTGATCTCACTAGGCCAGTCAGCTCTGCCGATGCAGCTTAGGCTAGACTGCAGAGGCAGGTTCACTCGGAGGGGTAATGGGTGAGCCACCTCCACCTTTAAGCACCCGTGCTACTGGGGCACTTGGGGGTGGGGTGGAGCTGGCACTGACCTTTGGTCCCTCCAGAGCTGCTGACACCCTGGGTCTTGTCCCAGGGGAGATTTGCTCCCTGGAATTAGAGGCTGGAGGTCACCACACTCACAGGGTCTGACCCCCAAGCTCCCTCTCCTGTTGGGGGGTCTTAGACTGCACCAGGTGGGAACCCTCCTCCTGCGTGTCAGCCTCCTGCTTGTTGGGCCTCACAGAGCTGGGCCCCTGAACCGGAGGGAGCCTGGCAGCAACCAGGCAAGCACGGGCCCTTCTGGAACCCCCACATGGAGGCTGACATCTCAGCCTGGGAGTCGGCGCATGGCCCCCTTTGGTAGCAGTGTGGATGGGTTCCTCGCTTGTCTCTCAGCCTCTGAGAGCCTGAGCTTCCAGGGGAGCCCTGTGCGAGGGTCCAGCCTGGTCTCTCCTGCAGGGAGGGGGTCAAGGGCCTGCCAGCTTCCTCCTGTGTGGGCAGGTACAGCCAGGGGAGGTGACGCCCGAATTCCCAAGTCAGAGTGGTGGTGGCTGTGGTGATGGTCATGGAGAATGGCCAGATGGAGTGGCTGCTCAGTAGGGTCGCTGGTGGCAGAGGATGGGGAGGAAGTGTGAGAAGTTGGGGACCTGGACCTTCTGAGACCTTGCCCAGGCCACACTAGGAAGTAGCGGAGGGTAATTTTGCATGGTGAATTTTTTTCTTAATCCTTGTCCGAGCATATATTTATTGATTTTGCTTTTAAGAGCCACAGTTTGGGAAGGAGAAAAAGAGTAACATCAATCAATTGCCTCCTGTACATGCCCGGACCGGGGATCAAAATTACAACCTAGGGACATGCCTTGCTCAGGAATCAAATCCAAAACCTCTTGGTGATGGGACGACCCTCCAACAAACTGAGCCACCTGGCGAGGCCTGAGGTGGTTAATTTTTTAAAAGATTTATTTTTTTTGCACTTCTATGTTCATCACAAAGTTATTCATAATAGCTGAGATTTAGAAATAGCCCAAGTGCCCGTCAGTAGATGAGTAGATAAAAAAGCTGTGGTATATTTGCACAATGGAATACCAACTGGGAATAAAAAAAGAAAGAAATCTTCCCTTTTGGGACAGCATGGATGGTCCTGAAGAGCATTAAGCCAAGTGAGATGAGCTGGTCAGAGGAAACAAATACCACGATTTCACTCACATGTGGAATGTAATGAGCAACACAAACAAAGTAGAATCTGACGCCCACAGAGAGAACAGACTGACCGCTGTCAGAGGGGAAAGGCTGGGCAGGGCTGGAGTGCAGAGGGTGGTGACCAGAGGGGAAGGGAGGGGAGGGGAGGTAGGAGAGGGTAAAGGGGGATAAATGGTGGTGGTAGTGTTACAGAGCAGACCTGGGGGGCGTGAACGATGTACTATTACCAGAAGGATCCCCCCTTTTCAACAAGGGTTCCCCCCTATCTACTAGGTTCGCTTTGCCCACTGCCAGGGGAAAGACGTCTCTTAATACCAGAGACTGGTGAAAAGGGAAGGAATTCTTTATTTAAAAGTTATACAGACTTAGAGTAATGACTTAATGTCTTCATTAAATTACCAAAATTCTTTAGAATACCCACAAATGGACAAGGTTCTTTCTTCTTCCCTTTGCCCAGTCCAGGGTACAGTATCTCAGGGAAAGAAGCAAAAGTCTGTGGTTCAGGCAGCCCCTCGGTTCTGGCACCATCCGCTGTGTCGCCACCACAATTTCCAGTTAATCCAAAGCAATGTGGCACCTTCTCATGAGCCACCAGCAAGAGTCCTTTCACCCCTTTCCTTCCAGGCAAAGTGTCTCCTGATGCCTAAGCCACGTGGAAAAGCGGGAGCACCCTAAAGCCACATGGTCCTAACTCTCGCCCAAGCCTTGTGGTCACAACCTACTCTGCCAAAGCTGTGTGGTCCCTCTTGGTATGGCCGCTGACCCTGGGTTTAAATGCCCACCCTAATCTTCCTCTGCAGCCCCATTTCTGACTCCTCCCACAACCAGTCACACCTGCCAACATTCCCTCATTCCTCCAGCTTTACTGGGCTGCCATAGTAAGTCCGGGCAGGCATGGTCGTGTGGTGTGGAGACAATCATCTGCAAGCTGTCACACAGGCTCTGTACCCAGGGGCAGTTGCCTCCCAGTTACATCTTGGGTAGAACTCACTTCCATCTCCCTGGCTCAAAGCATGGCCACAGCTGTTTAACATATCTGTGAAACCAGCTAAAGGTTACAGATACTGTAAAGCGACGATGCCAGAGGTTCGCTGCAAAGCTGTTGCTGTACCAAACAGCTCTCCATGGCCCCTGCTCCATGTGTCCCATCCCTCAGCTCAGACTGGTGGAGGGTGAGGACATCATATATATATTTTTCTAATATTTCTTGGACACCCTGAGTTCTGGGCCCCATTACAAATCCCTATTTGGGGCCCCCTCTTGGCTGCACCCTGTAACAGTAGACGATGTTGGGTGGTGAACACACAGTCCAACACACAGATGATGTGTTGTAGAACGGTACACCTGAAACCGATATAATTTTATTAACCAGTGTCACCCCCATAAATTCCATAGACATTTTTAAAAAGAAAAAGAAAAAGAAAGAATATTTTGTGTAAAATGATTGTGCTGCCACAACTGATAAACTCGGTTGGTTGGAGTGTCATTCTGTAACCAAAATGCAGTGGGTTTGATTCCCTGTCTGGCCACACACCTAGGTTGCAGGTTCAATTCCTGGCTGGGGTGTGTGAGGTTCCCCAGCTGGATTGCACACAGTCCCAGTCCAGGTGCAGGAAGGAGGCAGCAGGTCACTGCTTTTCACTCACTTTGATTTTTCTCTCTCTCCTTCCCTCTCTCCCTTCCCCTCTCTCTAAAAGCAATGAAAAAAAAAAGTCCTTGTTTGGGCATAAATACTAATAATTATAATAAAATGAGTGTGTCCCCTTGGGAGCTGCTGATGGGAATGTAAGTCTTCTCTAAAGGAGAACTTTCTCAGAAAAGTTCAAGAAATACATGATCACATCAAAAATGTAAAAGCTAACAGGCAAAAGGAAACCAAAACAAGAAACAAGCCACTGAGAAAGAGACGGTAGGAGAAAAACAGAACTGAATAACTCACAAAGCCTTTTCATATTGGGATTATTAGACACAGACTATAAAATAGGTATATTTAATATATATTTATATGAAAAAAGGGATTGGACATGTGAATCATTTCAATGAGGGGAAAAGGAATATTTTTAAATGATTGAGTAGATCTGATAAAAGAAACTGAGTATTTGGGAATACATAAGAGAATAATGAGAATATTTTGCCATAAAGAAAACCAAATCTTTTAAAGTCAAATATATCATTTCTGTTACCTTATTAAAAAGACTTACTTTTTAGAGCAGTTCTAGGCTCACAGAAAAACCAAGGGAAGGTACAGAGATGTCCCGTCCCCCCAACCCCCACTCATGCACAGCCTCCCCGCTGTCCACAGCCCCCGGAGGGAGACACTGTTGTCACAATCGCTGAACCTGCAGTGACACAGCATCATAAGCCAGGTACTTAGTCTACCTCAGGGGCCGCTCTCGCTGCTGCGCATTCTACGAGTTTGGGCCAATGGTGACATCACGCACCCCCATCCCAGTGTCCCACAGAGGGGTGTCCTGCCCTCAGTGTGGGGGTGGGGGTCTTCAGCGTCCCCCCCGGGGGCAGCTGGAGCCTCGGCAAGGGGGCGCCCAGAGATGAGAGCATTCCCTCTGCTATCACAGGTGGTGAGGAGGAGGCCCCTGAGTTCAAAGAGAAAAGCAGCACTTTCTACCAGGGGGGCTGCCTGAGGGAGGTCACTCGGGGAGGGCCATGCCTTGTGAGGGGCCCCAGGTACCAGAGGGCGGGACTCCACGGGCGGATGGTGATGGGGGGAGAATCTCATGTTCGCGTTCTGCCCCCTGAGAATGAAAGGAGTAATGTCCAGTGGGAACAAGGGTCGGTCTGCACAGAACCTCGGGGGACGGTCCTCTGAGCTCCTGCTGCAGACCAGACAGGGGTAGGGGATCTCTCACCCACTGTCTCACGCTGTCACTGGGGACGTGGACCCCGGCCCATCTGGGAGAGAAGGACCTGAGGCCTGGGAGTCAGGAACGTCACCCAGGGCCACATGGCCAGAGATTGCTGGTGTCCCCATAGGCGCTGAAGCTCCTCCCATATGGTTTAGAAGTCTACACAACACACAGTGGAATTCCTCTGTGAAGGGAAAGGCAGATACATTTATTCATTCTAGGTCTTGGTACAATTATTCCATCCTTCGGTCAGCGAGCGGGAGAGAAGGAGGGACACAACTGCAGGCTGCACGGGAGCCGGGGTCAGGGAGGCAGCGGAGGTGGGGGTTCTGGCTGGTCAGCGGCTTCGAGGGCAGGATCCTGTGGTTTCTTCAGGCTGTCACTGGTGTGGGATCAGTTCCTCATTACAGAATTAGCAAGGGTGGCTGCTCCAATAGCAGCCGCACCTAAGGCTGACACCAGCCCTGCTCCCATTGCGGCGTTTTGAACCTGAAAGTGGGCAGCCCTTGTCAGAGTCCACAGCCCAACCAGGCAGGTCCTCCCTCCCTCCCAAGGCGAGCCCAGGGTCCTCTCCCTCAGAGGATGAGGCCCCATTCCCTGGGAAACAGAAGTGGGGACCACTTCTCAGTGTGGGCTTGTCTGGATTTGTCCTGCCCACCGGCAGGAGGGGCTGAGGGAGTCCTCTGTGTGCACTCCCTGGGGGAGGCCGTGTGTTCCCGGCCTGGGTGGGTGGGGAGGAGGCTTTGTGCCTGGGGTCCTGGGCCCAGAGCTCTGGGGTCAAGGTGGGAATGGCTGTGTGGTCTGGGCTCTCCCTGGGGCTGCCCCTGCAGGGGGACGCTTGTGGCAGAGGCTGAGAGGAGACCCTGGGAAACCATGGCCACACTGTGGACTGTTCACAAGTGCAGCCTGGAAACTTTGCCTTCCAGTGCCCCTCAGCCTTGACCTCCAGACTCACATGTCCATCTGCTGCTCAACATGCCCATCTGGACATCTGGCTGGCCATACACACCCCACCTGTGCACGGAACCCTTACCCCCTGCACACCTGCACCTCTTGCCCCCACTCTCTCTCACCCAGGCCCCCACCCACCCAGTCTCGGGGGCCTCCAGCCCTGGGGGCGCTGTGGTTCAACAGTGAAGAGCAGGGAAACTGGGCTTTGAATCCTGCTCCTGCCCTCACTAGCTGGGTGTGTTGGGACAACACACTGGGAAGAGAGGGAGGGGAAGGGGGAGGGGTTAAAACTGTGCCCAGGTGGGACACAAAGGTGTCCTGGAGCTGGCACGTGGGCCCACTGACCGAGCACCTCCTGCCCCAGTGCTCTTTGGGGCCCTAGGAGAGCTGGCCTGCCATGGTGCTGGGTGGGCCCAGATGTTCCCTGACCACACACAGGGGCCCCAGGGACTGCCTTTAGGGGGTCTTACAGGTGAAGGGTCCTAAGGGGAGAGAGCTGGTGAGATCCCCAGAGTTCCTCCTACCACCTGTCCTTCTGGGCATGGAGAATCTGAGGCTCAGAAAGGGAGTGACCTGTGTAATGGCCCTATAAGGCTTGGAAGCAGACCTGAGAATTGCTCTAAGATACGCTGCTTCCTAGCCTGCATGGCCTCCAGAGCCTGCCTTTGCATATTCGGGGTAACTATTCCCTCTGGGCGCACAGCCCGGTCACCCCCACCCAAAGCACACCTGCAGGAGAGAAAAGGGACCACCCCAGAGAGGGTCTTACCTGCCGGCTTGTAGGCTCGCCGTATCTCAGTTCGGTGACAAAGTGCTCACAGTTCTTCCTCAGAACATTGTACTCTGCCTTCTCACCAAGCCTCTTATGGGCGGCACGGACAATCTCCCTCATGGGCCGTGGTGGGTGATCCTCGTCCAACTTGTTGTTGACCCGATAGTGACAGTTCCTGGCCACATCGGTCAGGAGCTCCCTTTTTCACCTCCCCCTGACAGTCATACCGGAGGCGATCATGATGGAGTCAGCTGAGGGGAACCCATCTGGAATCCGAGACACTCGGATCAGCATGGAGGCAGGGGGCGGGGCAGCGTAAGAGGGAGAAGAGTGAGAAGAGAAGGCAGGGCGCAGGGAACCCCCTCGTGAGCTTTTGGTGTCTGTCCCTTCGCAGATGTGACTGGAGGATTCATGGGTTTTGCTCTTTTGGATTTAAAACTTGTGACTATGTTCATGTCATAAAGTTGGGGTGGTCAGTGGCTGCCTTGTGTTCCATTACATGAATGGTCACCATCTAGCTGACCAGCCCCCTCCTGCCACTGGGCACACAGGCTGTTCCACGGCTGAGCCACCATGAACAGTGGTCATGTGTCACACGTGTCCTGTGTCCATCCTGGTGACCTGTAGTTTCAGGGAGGGATGGACCTGGAGTCAGCACCCACAGTATGTCAGACCCTCTGCAGTGCGACTGTTCCCACAGCACCAACCTCATTGTCCTCTTCAGTTTCAGAGTAAAGATAATCATGGTCCCTTCATGACAGATATTGGACCTGGGACACATTCTCGGGCGTTCCTGACAGAGCTGTGGCCAGTGGAGAGGCCCACACCGGAGCCGCCAGCTCCTGGGGGCCCCAAGTCCATCCCATTGGGTCCCGGGGGTCATGTTCTGGGAGGGTTGGGGGGCAACAGTGTGCACAGCAACTGAGCACGCTCAGTTTATGGTTCCCATCTGAAGGCTGAGGTTCCCACTGAGCGCCCCTCCCTTAAGGACCCCCTGCCCCCACACGTGCAGACAGCCCACACCCTGGGGGCTGCAGCCCTGCTCTCTGCTCCAAGCCTCCCGAAGTGTGGCCCTGATTAGGGGGGTTGCATTCACTGGTTTCCATCCGTTCAGACACTGTTACGACTGTCAGAGTAGCTGAGAGCTTACAGAAAATGGACAAGACACAAAGATTATTCTGCCAACAGACTCCTTCTGGGGACAGTGCAAACCCTCGTGTCCAAGGTTAGGGTGACGGGCTCTGGGGGACACGCAGCCCTGGCCCTCAGTCAGCAGTCCCACCCCAGCATCCCTCCGTCCTGGACGGCACGCACACCTGCGTCCCGCACTCCCCTCGGACCTGCCGGGCCGTCCTGCCTCCCCTGCTCTCCAGGAGGTGAAGAGAGAGCTCGGGGCCCTCAGGTGCGGCTGTGAGAGGATGCTCTTGGTGACATGTCACCATGAGAGCTGCCTCTGTTGAGGGCAACTAAGTCCACACTCAGGACACCTTTTCTGTGAAATCACATGAGTGTCCAGGACAGAGCACTGAGGAACCTTGTCCTTTATGTGACCACAGACACTCAGAGCCTTTGCTGGTTTAAGTGACATCAGCCCCCACCTGCCCAGGTAACTGGGCACCGAGCGGCGGAGCCCCCAGTGCTGAACCACCTGGCTGCACTGGGGCATCCACGAACCTCTTTACCTGCCCTGTCAGGCCCTGTGGGACCCACTGGGGTGACTCAGAGGGACATGGATGGAGGGTGACCCCACCCACTGCTCGGGGAGAAACCAACTCGGGTTTCTCCTGGTGGCATTGGGCTTTGAGGTATTCTCATTACGTTAACAAAACTTCTGAAAATCAGACTTTCACAGTCCTTACTTAGAGGAGCCAGATGGATCACGTAGCCACCTCCCACGTAGAGCGCCCAGTGCTGGTAGCCAACACGGAAAATCTCAATCAGGTCTCCAGGATTGTATTCGCTACTGAACTGTAAGAGAAAATGCCAGAAGGGTGTACACAGATTTCTAGGCCCCAGCAAAGGCCCTGCCTGGTGAGTTGCTGCTTGGCCTGGAGACCCCTGGCTGGTGCTCGTCACCTGGTGAGGGTGTGCGGAATACCCGTTTGCGCTGGTTTACAGACTGATGCTCAGAGAGGGGGCAGGGAGTGCAGGGAGCACCTGGCGGGAAAGCAGCTGCACTGGGTCTTCTCTGCCCCGGGTCTCCCAGTCCCTGCGTCCCTGCCCCCTCCCCTCTGACAGCTCCATCCCCTTCCTGGGCCCCAGTGTACTGCGCAGGGAGTGGCCGTTTCGTGACTGGACAATATTTCAGTTTTACTCTCCTTTTCTGCCTGACCTGAGCAAATAGCAGCCCCCCCACAGCCCTCACCCCAGGACGCCCGATCTGAGGCCAGGGGTCAGCTTCTCTTTGCCCTCCTTCCTGCCAACACCCAACACTGGTGTTGACCCTGGAATTTCTCCTGATTCACGTCCTTGTTCATCTCCTCACAGATGACTTGGTTCAGGGCCTCCCGGTTCCCCACTGTGTGACCCTCATGGTCTCCTGAGCAGCCCCCTGCCTCCTGTGCCTCCCCTCTTCCTCCAGTCTCCCCAAGACCCACTGTGGCTTCCCACAGGGCCCATCTGGCCATGACCTTCCTCTGGCCTCAGGACACCAGCTCACACTTAGACAGCTGTCAGTCCCCTTGTGCTGACCCTTCCTGACCCCATTCCCATCCCAGCACACTGCCCTCCAGACTGACAGAGGGACTTACTTTCCCACCACACAGCTCACTGGGGCCTCTGCTTCTCTGCCCCACCACATGCCCGACTCCCACTCCCTCTACCCCCATCAGACAGATACCCCTCCTCTGAGATGCTGCCCTGAACTGCCCAGCCTGGCTCAGTTGACACTCTCTGGGTCCCCAGGCCCCAGGGACCTGCACCTCTCCCCACAAGGACCACGTGGCACTGCAGGTCCCTGTGCCTGTCTGTACCCCTCTGGGCTTTGAGTTCCAGTCAGGGAGGTCCCTGTGTGCTCGTCCCTCCCTCCTGCATCTCCAGGATCGCCCCCATAGTGGGCTGGTCTGCAGTAGGAGGGAAGGCAGTGTGTGAGGAGGAGGAAAGTGGGGTGGTCAGCGGGGCCAGGATTCCCCAGCTCCTCCTCTCTGTGCCCAGGGCAGGGCGGGCCCAGCGCTGGCTCCATCTGGGGAGCAGGAAGGGGTTATTCACTCTGAAAATAAATGTCTAACTAAAGCCAGGCCTGGACACTGTCCACAGTAGCCAGTGGCAGATGAAGGTGAGCATGGTACCTGTTTGGATAAGAAAATGGTAACCCAGGCAAAAAACCCCAAACTGTTTTCCCCTGCACCCAGGATGCAGATGGATGGGCTCTGGAACATGCAGTGCGCCTTCCCAGAACCGTCCCCCCACCCCCATCTCCAGGAGTAGCCCGAGCCCAGCAGCCCCTTTCCTGCGGCACACAGGGAGCTCCATCTGTCCCTCCTGGGGACGTGTGCGAGTCTGACTTCAGGGCTGATAGGAGGGGAGCTGTCCGACTCAGCATGCTACAATCCGAATGCACATTATCAGGCGGGGGAAATTGTGTTGGAACAAAGTGGAGAGAGAACAGACTGGGGCTGAGAAGGCTCCGACCTGCAGCAGCAGCTGAGACAGAGGGGCCAGAGGGTTCCCTCACTCCCCAGGTCCTGGGTCCCGCCATCAGCCCACCCTCAGCATCTTCCCCAGCTCAGGCAGGCCCAGCCCAGACATGCACATGTCCCCCGCATGGGGGCCTCAGGTCTGCCTGAGGTGCCAGACACAGAGGAAAAGCCCACCCTGCCTGAAGACCTCACAGTCCTGCAGAAAAAGAGACTTTGAAATAATTTAGTTTTCTATAAAAGCCTATAAAGACAAGCTCTGGAGGTCACAGGGCCGGGAGCACAGGCAGGGCCCTGGCAGGAGGGGAGCTGCCCGCCGCCCAGAGCCACTGAGAGAAAGGTGCAGGGACTTACCCAGGAGCCCATGGCGCTGTGTGGTGTGTGTTCCTGGTGGGACAGGTTTATATACCTGTTGAGAATTCCTCTTTCACTTTCCTTCTGATACTAAGAATAACCAAGTCCTAAATGCAGTTAATTTTTTTTTAAAATTTATTGATCCTAGAGAGAAAGAGAAAGACAAACGTTGCATTCATAGGTCACTCCTTGTGTGTGTCCTGACTGGGGATCAAACTGGCAACTGTGGCACCTCAGGTTGACAGTCTAACAACTGAGCCACTTAGCCAGGGCTGCATAGGGTTTAAAGGGAGACTTGGGATTTCTCCGATGGACAGGCCCACAATTACCTATCTCAGACCACTGGGGCTTGAAAGCCACCTGGTTATTATCAGCCTGGTTTAACCAACCATGTTTGGTAATAGTGTGTCTTGTTAAGCGTAGACAAGATGTCCCTCTCAATCCAGAGGGACTTGCAGCACCGTTTCACCAGCAGACGTGGGAGCCTGGCTGTGGCAGGAACCCAGGCAGAGAGGAGAGGACAGATGAGCCCGGAAACGCTCTACTCCAGTTCACTGGGAGGGAGCTCCTCGGTCTGTCCGTGCACTGGTCAGCGGCATCGGTCAGTAAAGGCACTGAACTGTCTTCCGGCTGTGGGGTCGGTCCCACTGCCCGAGGTTGTGAGGGCAAAGATCTTCTGTGGCACGGACCCAAGTCTTGCAGAATAGGTTCACACGCTCAGGGGGCGCACGAGGGGATGTACGCTCAGGGCCAGAGCATGCTCACTGGGGCTGACCTCGTCAGAAATGTGCACGATGGCGTCCAGCAGGAGCCCCCCCGGCCCGTCCTTCCTCCACTGCCAGCCACTGAGATGGGCATTTCCACCGGGCTGGCTTTGCATGTCCTCCCCGGCACGAGGCACGGGATTCGGAGCTCTGGAGCTCCCCCTGCCCAGCAGAAGTCCCCATCGTCTGGACACCCCAGCCCCCTCTCCTGCTCATCACCAGGCTTCAGAGTCCCCCTCCTCGAGGTCATTCAGGAGGCCAAGTAAGGGCCCCAGTCTTCCACAGCCCGCTCGTTTCCTCACGTGCACCCGCCCTAAAGCCACGCTCCTCTCCAGCAGTAAAGGGGCGGCAGCTTTGTTAGGTCTTGCTCTCTGAGGCACCTGCGGACACGCAACCCAGACCTGGTCGCAGGGAGTAGCGTCAGTGTTCTCAGGCTCTGAGCCCAAGTGATACAAACGCTCCCGGAGGCTGAGCACTGCCACCCTCCTGTCCAGAGCGGCGCTCCGAAGGAGCTTTCTCGGGGTGACTCCTTCACGCTCTGGGATCAAATCGTATGGTGCAGTCACTGCCTTGAGGGCAGCATGGACTCGTTCACAGAGCCTTCTCCCAGGAAGCAGCAGACTGTGTATGTCCCCAGGAGATCTGACTCTGGGGGCCATCAGGGGGACACCATGACCCTGACTCTCCAGGACAACTTATGGACTCTCCAGGATCCACCTTCAGAGCTGAGCCCAGAGGTGAGGGATTGCCTATGGGCAGAGCCAGCCAGGCCCTCCCTCCCAGGTCCTCTACCCAGCCCTTCATCCTGCACACAGGGAAATTGAGGCCCAAGAGGGGAACTGACCTGCCCACAACCCTCAGGGGGTGGAAGATGAGCAGGGAGTTGAGCTCCGGTGCCCTCTGTTTATAGGCAGCTCAGTGTTTGGAAGGGACCCAGAGCTCTGAGAGCACAGAGGCCTGGGTGAGGGGCTGCTGCAGAATTAGGGACCAGAGGACCCCAGTGCTTCCTGGTGGTGGCAGGAGAACTGTAACATGGCAGCCTGGGGGTCACAGGAATGATGCTGATAAGCTTTAGGTAAACCACGTGATTTCCCGGAGCTCCTCTCCTGTAGAAAGAACAAGATATACTTGACCTGATCACCCACAGGCTTGTGGGAGGAGCAAGTGCTTGCAACTGCAGCTCACCTTTGAGCTGAGCTTCCCAGTTGTCACAGCACCTTCCCAGTCACTTAATGGTCACAACAGACTGTGAAGTGGATGGGACAGGGGCACCTGCTCGTTTCTGGATGAGAAATCCCAGTCTAGTCAGTAAAGTGGCCCTCGAGCAGATCTCCTGGCTGATGGGTGTTGGTGCCAGCACCTGAGTCAGCCGTTCCTGACATGCAGGGCAATGATCCCCCCCACCCGGGGATGCAGTGGGAGCCTTTGGAAAAGATCCCCCCACTGAAACTGCTGTCCACAGAGGAGAACCAGTGGGACTCAGTGGACAAAGTACTGGTTTTGGAGTCAAGCCTATTGGTTCATGTTTTGAAGTGTGCACTTAGCTTTAGCCACCTTGGGTGAGTTAGGTGCTTGGCCCTTAGGTGTCTGGGTGAGAGATGTTAGGACGGCTCCTCGGCCTCGCTTCCTGCATCTCCAGGACCCCCCACGGGGCCTGGTTGGCAGTAGGAGAGACAGAACTGTGGGAGGGGGAGGAAAGGTGGGCGGTCAGCAGGGCCAGGATTTCCCCAGGTCCTTGTGTCTGTCCCAAGGCCAGGGCAGGCCCTGAGCCGGCTCTCTCCAAGGAGAATGAGAGGACCAGTGACTCCAACCTCCGAGTCTAAGGTCACAGCCAGAGCAATCTCAGGAGTAGCCAGTGGAAAGCAAAACTGTCAGCTTGAGTTCCTGACTGGAGAAAGAAAAGGGGCAGGCTGGGGACAGAGGTAGAGTTCTTGGGTGGAGGACAGAGGTCCTCTCCCTTCCGGTGAAACATGAGTCATGCCTTCCCGGAATTGTTCCATTTTCAATAATTGAAGGAATCCAGCCTGTGTCCCTCTGGCTGGCACCACAGACATGGGCCTGTCCCTGACCGCACCTCTCTAACTCAGCATGATTGGGCTACTGGTTGGGGAGCTGTAGTCAGATCAATGAAATTCCAATACACACTATCAGACAGGACCATTGTCTTGGAGCAAAGCAGAGAGAGAACAGGCTGGGACTGAGAAGGGACCGAACTGCAGCAGCCGCTGAGGCAGACAGGCCTGGGATTCGCTCGCTTCCCAGGTTCCGGGTCCCCCATCAGCCCACCCTCAGCATCTTCCCCAGCTCAGGCAGGCACAACCCAGACACCCACATGTCCCCCCACATAGGGGGCCCCAGACACCACCCCTCTCTCCCATGTGCCAGACACAGACAGAGGGATCGCTGTGCACAAAAACCTGCAACCAAGACTGGTGTCTACGCAGCGAAGCTCTCATTTAGAATCAAAGGGCAGATAAGGAGCTTCCTAGTCAAGAAGAAGCTAAAGGAATTCATCATCACCAAGCCATTATTATATGGAATGTAAAAGGGACTTATTTAAGAAAGAGAAAAAGAGCAAAATATTAATAATAAAATGGCAATAAATACAAATCTATCACAATTGAATCTTTTTTAATTTTATTTTTTTAATTAAAAAAATATATTTTATTGAGTATACTCCTACAGTTATCCCATTTTTCCCCCTTTATTCCCTTCCACCCTACATACCTCCTCCCATCCTCATTCCCCACTTTGGTTCATGTCCATGGGTCATACATATAAGTTCTTTGGCTTCTGTATTTCCTATACTATTCTTAACCTCCCCCTGTCTATTTTCTACCTACAATTTGTGCTACTTATTCTCTGTACCTTTTCCCCTCTCTTCCCCTTCCACTCTCCCCCTGATAACCCTCCATGTGATCTCCATTTCTGTGATCCTGTTCCTGTTCTAGTTGTTTGCTTAGGTGTTTTTTTTTGTTTGTTTGTTTACATTCAGTTGTTAATAGCTGTGAGTTTGTTGTCACTTCACTGTTCATATTTTCAATCATCTTCTTTTTCTTAGATAAGTCCCTTTAACATTTCATATAATAAGGGCTGGGTGATGATGAACTCCTTTAACTTGACCTTATCTGGGAAGCACTTCATCTGCCCTTCCATTCTAAATGAAAGCTTTGCTGGATAGAGTAATCGTGGATGTAGGACCTTGCCTTTCATAACTTCAAATACTTCTTTCCAGCCCCTTCTCTCTGCAAGGTTTCTTTTGAGAAATCAGCTGATAGTCCAATGGGGCCTCCTTTGTGGGTAACTGTCTCCTTTTCTCTTGCTGCTTTTAAGATTCTTTCCCTATCTTTAATCTTGGCTAATGTAATTATGATCTGCCTTGGCATGTGCATTGTTGGGTCCAACTTCTTTAGGACTCTATGAGCTTCCTGGACTTCCTGAATGTTTATTTCCTTTGCCAGATTAGGGAATTTATCCTTCATTATTTGTTCAAATAAGTTTTCCATTTCTTGGTCTTCCTCTATTCCTTCTGGCACCCCTATGATTCAAATGCTGGAATGTTTAAAGATGTCCTGGAGGTTCCTAAGCTTCTCCTCTTTTTTTTTTTTGAATTCTTGTTTCTTCATTGTGTTCTGGTTGATTGTTTCTTTCCTCCTTTTGCTCCAAACCATTGATTTGAGTCTTGGTTTCCTTCCCATCATTGTAGGTTCCCTGTAGTTTTTTCTTTATTTCACATAATGCAACCTGCATTGCTGCCTGGGTCTTTTCCATGCTGTTGAAGTACCCAGTGAGTTCTTGGAGCATCCTGGTAACCAGTGTTTTGAACTGTGCATCTGATAGGTTGGCTGTCTCTTTGTTGCTTAGTCGTATTTTTTCTAGAGCTTAGAACTGTTCTTTCATTTGTGCCTTTTTTTTTTTCTGTCTTGACACACCTGTTCTATAGTAGGGATGGAGTTTAGGTATTAGCCAGGGTGGGGCAACCTGCATCACTGCTGTATGTTCGGGGAGGGTCCCAGAGGGAACAGTGCCACTTGCTCCGCTCTTTGCTGGTTTTCAGTCACTTCCCTGGCTGCCCACAATCAAATTGGGCCCTTTCAGGTACTGATCCCCAGTGGGTGGGTTTGTGTACATTCTAGGACCCTGTGGGCCTCTTCGATGAACTCTCCTGTGAGGCTGGGAGTTTCTCTAGGCACCTCAACCCCCACAGGTGTTTTCAGGCAGAGGCTTTGAGGCTTTATTTCCCCTAGCTGGGACCTTGGG